GTGTCTCTACACGCTCCTTCTTCTTAAGTTCTGTTGTTGCTCCTCCTTCTGCTGCTTCCGATATTATCTATTGATTCTGTGATGCTTTGCCAACTGATTTCTGGGTTGTATTATCTCACTGCTTGCTGTTTTTGTCACCAGCAGCTGTACTTGCATGAATGGGCTCTGTACTGTGTATGTGTATGTGTTGTGTTGTGTTGGATTCCTTATGGCAAAGACAAAATCAGCTGCCAGGTGGCAGCGGCGTCGACGTCGGTGTCAGAAATTTGCATACGGGCCAACACACACAGGCACAATCACAGTTGAGACACACACACACGTATGCACGCACGCACAGTGGCAACTTAGAACTGGTTTTGGCAGAGCAGCATCACAAAATAAAAACTTTGCAGCTCTCCTTCTTTCTCCTTGGTGTTGTTTTTGTTGTTGACGGTGTAGTTTGGTGGTGCGTTTTGGGGCGGTTTAAAGCGCGCGTCACGTTGCAGCCGCTGCAACTAAAAAATCAGAAAGAAACGAAACTTGAAAATGCCGCGCACATAAAAACTAAAACAAAAAACTGCAGCAGCAGCGGCAGCAGAACGAACAGCAGCTGCCGCAGAGGAGTTGCAGCAGAATGTTCTTGCTCTCGCTCTCTCCTCACTCTCTCTGTCTTTTACACTGTCACCCAAAAAAACAAAATATACAGCAACAAAAGAACAAAAAATAAAAACGTACGTAGAACAAAAAATATATGGGAGACAACGTCTCAAACACAGACCAGAATGGCAGGGCGGACGAAACAGATGCGATGCAAACGCCGCAGAAGTGAAAATGATTTTGAGTGGTGTTGTTTGGGCCGCTGCTCGGGAATGGCTTTTGTAGCAGCTGCTCGCTCTCCATGCTGTCGAAGCGCGTGCACTTAGGGTATCAAGAGAGGGTATCAAGGTTTCCTCTATGAATTCAACCGAAATCTGTGAGCGAGAGAGCCGAGAGAGCTGGACTCAAAGTCGCTCGCGAACCGCTGAGCGCTACTCGCTCAACGCTCGAGCTCTCTCAGCAACTATAAAGCCGCGCTCTCTCTCGCTCATCTCGTCATTTTGAGCGTGGTGCGTGTTGATTTTGAGAGAGAGAGAGAGAGCGAGTGAGCGTGTACATAAACATATTGGTTTATTTAAACGAATTAAGCCTTAAATTAAAGTGATCGCTTGGAATGGGCTAAAATTGGAGCAGCAATTGACAAGGAGATACTTTATTCAACCCGCTACACCATAAATAAAAAAAACAAGAGCCTATTGTCCAGTGTTTAAGTTCGTACCAAAGATGTGCTTTGTTCGCTTACATTCTCTACTTCTTTTGTTTCTTTGGCTTCTTTTTCTCTTTCGTTTTCGATTACTTGACTTATTTTCTTGCTTGGCAGGTTTTAAAAGGGCAGGCGGCATGCAGCGTTGGGAGCGGATCGTGTGGGGTTTCTGTTTCTTCTTTTTTGAATGCTTCGAATTTCATTTTGTTCATTTACTCATTCTTCTTGCTTCTGTCCCAAAATTAAAACACACATTTCCCATGTGTGTGTGTGTACGTTTTTTATTTTTTAAAGTAAGGTTTTCGCCTTACCTCCTTCTCCAATGCTTCTTCCTTGATTATTCCCATATAAGAATGCGGTAAGAGGCGGCAAAAACGTGAAATTATTCTTGGGTTCTCTCGGTTGGGGGGATTGGGAGACGCTTAAGAAATGCTCTCTCTCACTCTACTATGTGGGTTCTTGTGGGAGTGATCTCATTTGTATATGTAATAGGACCATTTTATAGAAAGTCAATCAAGTTTTACCAAAATTGTGATTTGGGTGAAAAAATATACTCACTTAAATTTCTTATGGCTCTACGGTTGCTAAAGAAGTCATGGAAATATTCAAAATGATGTTGAAATGAATTGTTTTTTTTTTTAATTAAATCGCTACAGCGAAATTGGTTGGTCGCAGACAATGAGTCCGTATTGACCAGGTACAAATGTTACTAAAAATTTTGAACTCAAAAAGTTTGTCGAACGAACATAAGAAATATAAAGAAGAGAATTGTAAGATTTGAGTAAATTTTGAAATATCAAAAAACTTTCAAAATGGAAAAACTCAATGTGGAAAGACGAATTGGATTTAATAAAATCGTTTGAGTCTTATCATAATTATATTTAAATATTTATATTTTTTTATATGAAAAATTGAAAGATGGATAGAGGCACAAGATTGTCTGAAATCTGATAAATGCTTGCTGTTGCAATATTCAAGATCATCCCATTGGATAAATGCCCCAGAAACATGATTTGTCAAACCTACCGACTGATATCGGATATGTTGCTTCTTGGCTCGTGGAGCGTGTCAGTTAGCCAGTCTGCCAGTTAGCCATTGAGTCAGTTCGTCAATCGAGTGCCAAAATTGCCACCTAATATGGCCAGGCTCTCGAATTACAATAACAGTGTCAGATGTGAGCGCTGCGCTGTCTTGCTTATTTTTATGTGGTTTATCTTTTTACCAGTGCAACCGCATTTGAGCGGCAGTCCTACGGTTCGGAGCCCTTATGAAATTATTCGTGGACTCTCCTCCCCACCATTCCAATAGCCATTCCCAAAATATCATGTGGTGACTTCGTGCTGCTTTTTAATGTTGTACATACAAAAAAACGTCTTGAATTTTTTGGGATTTCGGTCTCGACTTGGCCATAAACGAACAGCGCACTTTCAGACTTTAATCAAAAAATTCCGAAAAAAAACGAGAAGGGACGTGTGAAACGCTTCTTACGCGTCACAACTCTTACACCCGGTACTCAGTACTACATCTGTACCTTAGCGGTTTTTTTTTGTAAAATTTTACTTTTTTTCCAACACGCTCCTTAAGCTCGCCCCCTTCCCTAGAGCCTCACACTGCAGAGTCATGGCAGAGGTACGGCAGAGGCAGAGGCCGCACACCGCGCGAAGAAGACGTTGAATGAGAGAATGTGCAAAATATAAATATAAGCTGCGGGACGGGGTGGGTTTAGCCACTGCAAATAAATTTCTTCATTGTGGCTATAATAATGATAAAATCGGATCTCAATCCGTGATGTGATGGATATGGTCATTCCCTACGGAATGGCGTTAGTTTTCTTTTATCTTCAAAATTGTAGGGAGGTTTTCGCCCTTTTGCGGGAGCGGAAAGGGGCGGGGCTCATTTTTGAAATACACTTGTAACAGTGTGTGCATACAGAAGTCTGGATTAAAAATGTTGTGGCTCTAGCTTTTATAGTCTCTGAGATCCAGGCGCTCAATAAGACGGACGGACGGACGGACGGACAGACGGACTTTCTGTACTTTCTGTACTTTGTGCACAAATACAATATACCCTATTTACTCTTCGAGTACCGGGTATAATAATGTGAAAGAAGTAAGAGGAAAACATTTTAAGTGCGTTGTCACTGCCGACATGAGAAACGCGTAAATGGGGTCCGGTCCCCGATCCAGAGCTCTGCTCGAAACCAGACTTGGCTTTTTTTGGATGGTTTCGAAAATGGTCCTCAAAAATACACAAACACGGCTTCGAGTGCGCACAAAACATGCGCATAGATACAGATATTCATACATACAAACCTCCAAACTAATACAAAAAAACTTACTCAGGTATCACGCTTACGATCGTACAGTGAATCTAAGAGACAAACGAAAAAATACATTCATACATAAAGGTTGATGGACGTGATCGGAGTGAAATCAAGGATTCTCCATAAGTGACCGCGTATCTTCGTTGTACATTTAATATTGAATATATACAATTAAATAACATATTTGGTGGTATTTTAGTTTTTTTAATTTGTTCCTATTTTTAGACACATTTCTGCTAATTAGGAAAAAAAACACACTGGGACTGAGTGCATTTTTTTGGTTGTTCACATAATGGACAGACCACTGTAGGAAATATTTTATGTGATGTACATATGTATGTATGTATGCAAAGACATGTACATACAGTATGTATCTTACACACCTTTCACTCGTTAAGTGTCACGTCTGTCAGATACAGTCCGTTCCCATTCTACATCATTGCCAAGACAGCCCGGTATCGGTCGGCGGTATCGATAGCCTCTCCTTTCCCCCTACCCCCTGTGAACGGGGTACGTGAGCGGCTGCACGAACTCCAGGCGTGGATTTATCTGCATTTGTGTGTGCGTGTATATTCACCTTCCGTCATGAGCATCGCATCTTCTCATCCGCCATCTGCAGTTCAGAGAAGATTCCACTCAAAACGGCACACTCAAGGCTCGCTCTCGCTCTCTATCACTGCGCTCACGCTCTCTTTAACTCGCTCCTCTCACTCTCTGCAGCAGCAGCCGCCGCTCCTGTTCATGAAGTAACTATATAGTTTCTTCATGCTCCTGTTTTGCAACTTCCTTTTTGGTCAGCTTCCTTGTTGGGCGAGGAGCTGCGAGTGGGGGGTGGGAAATAGTACAGCAGCAGAAAGTGGGGGAAGTTGGTTGCAGCTTCCTTTTATGTACATAAATATGTATATATGTATGGACATATGTACATGCATATGCTTTTTGCCACCGTCAAAAAATATGAAAGCGCTTTAGAAAGAATCGAGATCAAAAGGAGACGAATATGGGGTGTACTTGAGCCATAGGACCCCATCCATTTCCCCGTACAGCATCCGCCAAGTGCTAAATATAGACGATATTCACATTTGAGAGAGTTCCAACATCTGTTCTGTACGTTGATGATCGTCAATGTCCGTCCGCAGTACTCGTCACGTAGGCAGAAGGGGCACCGATCTTGATGCTCGTTTCTAAAAATACTGCTCCCTTTCAGTGGCACAACGGCAATTACAAGATCTGCAGGGATATATAATACATACTATCTACATACAGAAATAATCTAAACGGATTTATTCTTAAAGATTATTATTTAGTAAAGTACGTATTGCTGTTAAATTTAGAGAATTCGTGAACACATATGTATGTCCAGCCGCCATCACCTCCATCGGTGGTTTTGCGGTTGTAAGACGACTGGACGTTCGTCTAGAGCAGGTTATTTAACCGATGTTCATTACACTCGAATGTGATGATTTTCTACTAACTGTAAAAAATGTCTTACCTTTGCCAAAACAGTGTTGGTAAACAGTAACGTGCCTACCCAGAACAAGAAACTATTGACGTTGATAAAGTCGACGATCTTCTGGACAACTGCCTTGAGATGCTGTTTAAGATTTTTATGTTCTGAAGAATGTTGCAGAAACCATTGAAAACAGCAGGAACCTAGCAGAAGGTATGTGGTACTGGGCATAAACTGGGACTTTGGCTTAATGTATGCTGGATGGGTGTCTCTTTCAGCTTCTGCAGCTCAGCATTCTGGAATTAAAGTCGTATTACTCAGTGGGTTAGACTGAATAAAAATCCGCTTAAAATCACCCTTCATTCTTCCATGTTTGAAAATTTGTTTTGTATAATATTAAAAGACAGGAAAGTAGGCGATTCTCAATATTTTTGTCCTACTTTACACGGAGATGCCTTATAGAGCTCAGTTCCGTCTGTGCTAGTCAATCGGTAAGATCAAAATTGTAGACATTTTTATAAATATTATTTGTATTCAATTTTATTTTCTTGACAGTTGCCAAAAATGGGTATCATCAGCCGAATTGTCGATTATTTTAGTCCCCAGCCAGAACCGGAGCTCACCTATTACGAATTAATTCTGGGAATGGTAAAACAGCCCAGGGAATATCTATCAGCAGCATATCCGTATGGCTCCATGGCAATGCTGTGCGCTTGCACAGGTCCAACGTATATTGTACGCTAAGGATGTAATAAAAATGCCAAGACGACTCTTCGCTGGGAATGGTGGTCCCCAACTGGTGCAGTACGAGGAGGAGCACGGGGAGGAGGAGCACGGTGAGGAGGAGCACGGGGAGGAGGAGCACGGGGAGGAGAACGGCCAGGAGGACGAAGAGGAGTTCGAGGATTAGCAGGAGGAGTTCGAAGAGTCTGACGAGGAGTTCGTGGATTAAGGAGGAGGCAGGCACCTCTGAAGATGAAGCAGATGATATTCATGAACTGGAGGATGCGTTCAACGAATTCGCTCCAATCCTTTAAATAGTTATACTTTTAAGTTGCATTTTGTTTGAGTTTAACAGACGTCCAATTTTGGCATTTATATATGACTTTGTTCCTTTTCAACCGCTTATTTCTAGATGATCCTTGGTAACATTTTTAAGTGGTCGATGCTCCTTCAGATTTTTTTAAAAACTATCTTGAGAATGCCCCGCACGTACTCGAATTGCCCCCTGCCTTCACTCTGTCAATCCATGGGTATTTATGGAGTGAAAACGAGCGGTTTTCTGATCATTAATCGATCCTTAACGATCACGTTCAGAGAAAGATGTATGGGGTGGAAACACGGATGCACAAGAGGCCATTGCATAGCTATGACTTCACTTGAGATGGTCGCAGCAGACGCTGGCTTTGTGCATTCGCCATAAAAATGTGAAATGTACTGACCAGTCTCCTGGTCACTTTGCTCCAATCCCCCAGGGTCCCGGTAGCAACCTGGCTTTTAAAAGGCGTGGGCTGTCGAGAATTCTTTGCTGTGGCGAATGGTTGTGGGGCCTTTTGAGTCTGATCGGTTGGCAATGGCAGTGGCGATCGCTGTCGAAGCAGTTAATAGGGAACCGCGGATATACATATAGTAAGTTGAATGCCCTCGTTTGGGGGGCTCCACAAAAACAAGTAAAAAAGAATACCGAAATTCCAATAAAGAACAAGTATGGCATGGCACATGCTATGGCTCACATTCCGACTAAAAGATACCACGCTACCATAATGTGTCTCGAATGTCAGGCCGCATTGGCACTCGGTCCATTGCTTACAGTTTATGGGTTCTGCCTGGGCTTAAAGAATGTCACGTTGGTGACTTAATTCTGGATGATTATATATATATAAATATAATTTTTTTTCTCTCTCTTTATATTTACAATCTGTTTTTTTAAACAATAAGTAAATTGTATAATTAATATTCAATTAACAGAAATAGCAGTTTTCCAATGAGCCCTGCTATTATATATAACATCTTTTCAGTTTGTTGGATTTATCTATCAGGGATATCGAGAATGTGGTATCTTTTCAGTCTTCTTACTGTTAGGCTATTGTCTAATAGACTTAAGGCTAAATTATTTTCGTGGCTGTGGAGTCTGTCGATGTATTTCTTACTAGTTTTCTTTATTTCTTCTTTAATTGTTGGAATATTCAGATCTTTGTGGATTAGATACGTTTGCATTAGATACGTAAAACGGAGCATTGACAATGTGTCGGAAAGTTTTTGATTGGATGATTATATGAATGTATTTATTTCTTCTACAACATACTCTTGTACTCCACGAGTGCTGGGTATACAGAAAACAGCAAAAGTGGAAAACAAAAAACCTAAAATGTTGGTCTCCCCAATCGTTCGCCTTCTCTCCTCTCTCTTTATGTGTTTTCTTGTTTTTATTCGTTTTGATTGTGTTTCATTGGATTTATTATACCTGTTGCTGGCTGCACAACAAGTTTCTGTGGGGCTGGTCACACAGATAACCAGGGGGCCAGGAAAGGACACAAGAATGAATGACCTAGCCTTAACCCTTCATAGCCCCAACATTAGGACTGCTTTTTGGAGCTGGATTTGGTTGTTGCTGCTTGGCAACCGGTTTTGCCCTCAAAACAAAAACCAAACAAACAAAGCAGCTCAAGCAGTGGAAGAGAGCCAGCACTGGGAGAGAGCGGCCAAACCACCACAATCCCACGGTGTACTGACACAAAGTGCGGCACTTCCAGAGTGCCCTGCTCTGGATAGTTTTCCATATTTTGGCTAACACTAAGACCTGGAGACAGGGAATGATGGGGTGCGGCGAGAATGTATGCAACTCCGTGCAGGTAATGCCTCACCTTGTGTGCAATACACCTTGCCAAAGCCAGCTCTCTCGCTCATTCTCTTTCAGAGCTGAGGTAGGCACGTGAAACGAACGGAAATGAAGTTGAAACAGCGCTTCAGTACACAGTTCAAACCTGGCATTTGCTGACGACGCCGCTGACTACATTTGATTCTCAAAAAAACGAGCGCTGCCGACTTTGTTGTTGTTGTCTCCGTCACGTCACGCCAAGCAACCCAGCGCAACGCACTCCCCCACCCTGCCCTGCTTAGCCACTGCCCATAGCATTGTGCAATCGAAGGCAATCGAGAATGTCATCGCTGTCACAGTGGTGGATCGCATCGCTGCTCTGCCTCTGCCTGTGCCTGGTGCCCTTTGGCGAGGCCATCGAGTGTTATGTGTGCGACACGAGCGACACGGAGCATCCCTTCCAGTGCGGCGAGTGGTTCGAGCGGTACGATCAGCCGGACATCCAGCCGCAAAACTGCTCCAGCGTCCATGGGGCCCAGTTCTGTGTGAAGCATGTCGGCCGCTTCGAGGGCGGCATTGGTGCGAAGCGCTTCTGCAGCTCCAAGGATCTCGGCAACTACTGTGACTACGTGCGGAACAAGGGTGACCGCATGGACTACCGCAGCTGCATCTATACCTGCGACTCGGATGGGTGTAATGGCGCCGTTTCACAGCTGACGAGGCCCTTTGGCAACGGTAAATGGGGTGTGGCCGGCCTGATGCTTGCGCTCTGGCTCATCTGGCAACGCTGAAGCTGCGGAGAGGCGAGGGAGAGTCTCTACCAAACTGAGAGAAACAGAGAGATAGAGAGAGAGATCGCGAACAAAGAAGCAACTCTGTTTCCGCTTCTTCTACACGTTGTGCATTGTTTAGTTTTTTTTTTCGTAGTAGTTAAGCATGTAACTTGTAAGTTGAAGTAAACTCGAGAGACAAACCACCACACACAAAACATATACATAGAGAAACCCCCACAATTGCTTGTTTAATTGGTTTTGGGGAACGTTTCGGCAGTGGAACACACACTTTGAGCACAACTCAAACTTGACCAAGAGAGAGTGAGAGAGAGAGAGAGAGAGAGAGCGAGGAACGCCTGAACTGAAAAAGAACAATGGAGATCGATCGCTTCGATGGATGAGCTCGCTCTCTATATATGTATTTTCTCTCTCGCTGCCAGCTTAATCCTTTCGCTGATCATATCCTACTCCATACCCTCTTGAACCCATTGCCTTGGATCACGAAGCTTCCTTTTCTTATCTTGAAGAATTCTTGAAGAAAATGCACCATCAATTGCAATTCTTTAATTTTTTATGCAACATACCTTCCAAAGGTTTGTACATATGTACAAATACAGCATCCAACTTGAACCTTAGGTTAATCCCATCTCAGAGGTATAAAGAGAACATAACCTTGGCTATTGTGACACACTTCACTAAGACTTATCGGCTTGTCTTTGAGAGATTCTGTCTGTCAATCGATTGACTGACCTCCGCAGTCATCAATCGGAATTGGCTCTGACATTCTTCCATTCGGCAATTGAGCTAGAGATCATTTAAGCCAGCGCAAATTGTGGCCGGTCGATTAAAGGCACAAAGAAGGCAACCTGAGGCACCGTTCTGCTCCGCCCACACATACATAATCCCCATAGGCTCCATAAGACCCCATAATTTGGATGAACACTGCCGTGCCGGACAAACAGCCGAGCCGGACTGTTGCGTAATTGTATAAATTGAAAGCGCCTTGAGGTGCTATCATTGAGCAGGCGTTGAACATCCACACCCAACCAACACCAGAGAAGAGAGGCAGCGAACTCACAGAAAGAGATCCAAAGATCTAGGCGATCGACAACTTAAATACTCGCAGTCTAATCGCTACGCTTAGTCGATTATTAATCAGCATTTCCACTGACACTAATGCCCTCTCCTCTCCCACTGTTTTCTTATCTCGATCTGCCGTTCCCAAAGGTTTAAAAATGTGTAATGGAAAAAATAATATGTGTTTTTTGTTTGGCAATATTTAAATCAAAACGAAGGTTAGTACGTACAAATGATTGAAAAGTGACATTGCATGTCGCTGGCAGAGAGGATACTGATAAAATTTCATGTTAAGTTTGGTCAGGGAAGTGTCTTCCAGATTGATTAAAATGAATGGATTAAAATTAATCAAATATATCAAAAAAATCTATCTAATACATTCTGTGTTTAAAATTTTTTTTTTTTCCATTTTGTTTTATTACTTTTTTTGTGGTCCAAAAAATACATTCTCCCGATTGTGATTGTGCAATATGTACATACATATGTGTCCATACATCGGTATATACAAATCTATGAAGCGAAAGGTTAACAACATTTTAGCTGATAGACACAAGATCGGTAAACATAATTTTGTTGGATCGGTTTAGAGGGCATTGAGATGAGATTTGTTGATGCTGGAAATCTAGGGGGTGGGAGAGACAGACATTCATCTGTGTAATGAAATTGAAGACAGCAGATATCTGTCAGCAGGCGGCAACACAGGCGATGCCGAATGCTCAAGGTCACTGCCAAGCGCAACCAAAATAGCCACAAACAAAATGCAGACGAGACACAAACGTCCAGACGTACATATGTACATACAAATGTAGACAACAGACACAGACAACAAGCATTTGGAAAATTCTCTTAAATTTCCAACATTCGAAACGTGCCACATGCCACATGCAACACAGAACACACACACACACACACACCAGGGCAGAGTCCCATGTGAGAGAGAGACCCGTGCTCGTTTGGTACAACCAACCCCCGAGAAGGGACAACGACAACCCCGAATCATAAACATTTGAACCTGAACCTGAAACTGAATCTGAGTATTTCGAATCTTGGATGATGGGATGAGGAGGGGAGGCTGCTGCGTCATTAGTCCGGGGGTTGATCTACTCTCGGTGCACAGAGAACCAGAGAGAGAAAGAGAGAGAAAAGGAGAGTTTATCCTTTGTTCATGCTTCCTACTTCCTGTTCCTGCTTCCAACTTTCACTCAACTGAGTCCACGTCCCAAATTTCACTCGACTCGCACTGACCTATGCTTTTTGTGGATGAAAGTTGTTGGCGTCATTTGCGGAAGCAAGGACACAAAAGTATGACGACACAAAGGACACAAAGAACCAAAATGAAAACGACGCAGTGAAGGTTATTCACACGCAATTGTTTTTGGGGGGAGTGTTGGGGGCGCTGGTAAATCCCCAAAAAACTTGTCCAAAGGTT